GCCGGTCCAGACCTGATCTGAGCCCTGGGATGTCTCTACTGACCAACGCTGGCTGAACAGAGCCAGGGTTAAGGCTGTGTGAGCGTGTTGTGGAGGGCAGGTAGGAGGGAGGGTGGAGTAAATAGATAACACTCGTAAACTGAGAAGCGGATGTGTTTTAGAGATTGTAGTGATGAAGAGAAAGTGTTTCACAATCGTTACTTCAATGATGGTTAGAATAGATATATTTTTTAAAACCTAACGTTGTTCCAGCACATCTCACTCTGGACATGAGCACTACAGCTGCATCAATAGACATAAAATAATAATAACCATATTATTAGGAATAATTGTACATCTATTTTTCTGGAAATAGACATTATAGCTTATAACTCAAGACCTCAAACAGTGAAATGTTATAAATACAGTTTTTTCCCCACAACCTTCTTTCGTTTTTGTGCAAATTAAACTATTTCTGACCCATTTCTGAAATTTGCAGCCATAGTTCGTTTGCCTTAGTTATCAGAATCTTGACTCAATCAACCACAAGTGTTGTGCAATATGTGTACCACCTTAAAATCAGATGAACTTTGGTTGTGTTAGGTAAAAACCTGTACTAAGATAAGGGCCGTGAAATTAAGTCGGTGCCTTCCTGTGAAAGTTGCAGTTGTGCAGATTTTGAAGTTTTACAAACTAGTTCACAGACAAAAAAAAAGGAAAATAGTGACTAGGTAAAAATATGTGCAACTTATTATGACTTGATATATATATATATTAAACTCAAAGCTCCAGTGACAGATACAGTGACAACCGTGTCTGTACGATAGCAAAAGGTTCACTTTAATTTGGTCTTTCATATCAAAAATATCTATGCAGTTTCGGTCTACATACTCTGTCTACCACAGAGCATATCAGGCTCCTATTTTTCATACATTGAAACCAAACCACGAGTCTATACATAGTCCTTAAGTTGTACAAGAGTAAACAATGTCATATAACTACTCTGTCCGCAACTGGTCTTTTTCCCATGTTTGTACTGCTGATATAAAAACGATGCATATAAAAACAACATTTTTTTAAAAACACTAATGTTAATCTATGTATAAAAAAAAAAAAGAAAAGAAAAAAAATTGCCCTTTGCACATGACACTTGCAAACTGATGGTCGGAGATCTGAGACGGGGATCATGGCTGCATGAAGCATTTCAGAGTCTGCGGCTCACTGCCATGGAGTCCATTAGTTCGTCTTCAGATCAGTTCAGACCCAACCAGTGGAAATGTCGTGATAAATACTTAAAACCCTATGTTTTCACTTTTTACACTAGAAAAAAGTAATATAAAACAGTTAGATATAATAGTTCAGTCCTTGGAATGGTTTTGTCATGAACGAGGTTCCTTGGCTGTAAGTCAATATTCTAGAAGAATCCAGAAGGATCCAGAAGCATGGAGCCTGGGTCATTCACAGGCCAGTTTGACATCGAAGGCTGACAGGGCGATGGAAAAGGCCTGCAGTGCACACATGGGGTAACTGTAGTCCATGGAGAAGACGTCCTTGGTCACACGGCCACACTGCATCACCAAGTAATCATCTGGGAAAGACAGCAGGGACAACTTAGTCAGTGAAGTGTAGAGTGAAGAATCAACTGTCGCTCATCGACTTCTACTAATGAGGCACAGGGAACATTTAAAGAACTTCTGCCAATGAGGCAGATGTCTGGGGATGTGTTGACACTTTTGGAAATGTTCTTGTACTAGGGATGAACTGGTACCAATACCAATTACATATAAAGCCAGATACTTCATTCAATTACTCGAATGTTTCGGTTGATATCATTTCCAATGACATGTAGGCAGATCCAGTCACATCTTACCATCATCGGGGTGGATGAGCTGGAAGTTTTTGACAGAGGCCTTAGTGACTCGGCCATGGAAGTTCAAGACGTAAGACTGAGTCTGTTCACTCCAGCTCGGGTATTTGTTGACCAGTGTGACCAGTTTGTCCGTGAGGTCGTTTGAGCGACGACTCAAAAGAGCCTCCAGATCCTGAAAGAATAGATGTTTTTCACTTCAGCTTCCTCCCACAAATCTCACAAGGTGAACATATACGGTACATGTGTATGAACATTTATGTAGTCTTACATATTTTGGCTGAATGGGCACTCGTTCATTGTTATCCAACATTCTGGGAATGATCACTGTCATTTTCCTTGGACCTTTGAATCCCAGCACATTGGATTCCTGTGATTTGAAACATGACTGTGTTACATATTTAAATTCCATCCATCCATTCTTTATTGACCACAGTATGGAATGAAAGCATGCAGTGTACTGTGTCAGTACTCACATAGCAAATTGCTGCCAGCTCTTGCCGCACTGACTCACAATCAGTAACAGGACTTTTGTCTGGGTTTTCTCCTCCATCGTAGAAAATGAATTTGGTTCCCAGAACATTTGACCTGAGATGGATTGTTGGTGTTAGAAATACTAAATGGTATCAAATATATATGAAGAAAATTTCCTTTTACGAAGAAAAAGGGTTTATCCTTAATGAAGTTAAATAATGTGACTCAGTGCTGAAAAAAACCCAAAACACTTACCGTAGTTTTCCTAAGTAGCAGTTTGTGCCTCGAGATAAATTTGTCGGATCAGTGGAGAAGAGATAGTTAGACGTTTTGCACTTTTTTCTTTTCCTTGCCGCCATGAGAAACACCTTTGAGGTAAATGGAAATATTGTCAAATACTGTACATAAATACTTGAAGGCACGGAGTTGTTTCAACTTCAGATGTGCTGACCCTTTTTCCATCCTCCCTCTCCATGTGGAGACAGTAAGTGGGGTATAAGCCCTTGGCCATGCCCCTCCTGTCCCTGGTGATTGTGCATCTGATCGTTACATCTATGGGAGCAGGTCGTAGGGCAAACTCCGCCAAATCCTCGAACGACATCGGCGAAATGGACTTAAATGAGAAGAAAACCAAAATCCATTAGCATCTGTGATCCATTTAGACTATAGTACAGCACAGAGGTCTGCTTGCTGTGGCTCATCTGTACTGACAGAAATCAAATTTCACACAAGTTTCACACCACAGGAGGACATGATGTCACTGTCCTCTGCTACCAAAGCTAGTTAATGACACTTTTAGCAGCAGTGGTGGTAGAGGGCATTATGTTTGGTGAAAACGTTGGTACATTGTTGGAATATGCATTTTGTGTTTTTCCTGTGATATAACAGATAAACAGCACAGTACTACTTCCTCTTCCTAAAATGATTAAAATGATAAAGGCTCTTTGAAGTTTGCAGACCTCTGGTGTAGAGAACACACGTCACAGCTTTGATTGACAGTGCAGGATGTTGCAGTTCTTACTCTGTCGTTGAAAGCGCTGTACAAGGACGGACTCCGAGGAACACAGGTGACCTCGGAGGAAGCACCTGTGAATGCAGAAGTTGTAGAGCTGCTGGGGTCTCGGTGGGATGGCAGGGCCACTTTTAGAGAGGTGCCTGAGACCATCCTCCGGGCCACATCTCCTTCATTGTCGTCCTCACTGTGGTCCTGTTTTTTCACCCTTGGACTCGGCAACATTTCTGACTCCTGAGTCGAAGGTTCTTTTAATTGTAGGTCTACTGTGGGAGGAAAAGAGAAATTTAGCAAAGGTCGTTGCAGAAGCAGAGTTTAGAGGAAAATTAAACGGACTCCCAAATTCAAATGTTACATTTCGGTGTTTTCGGCTCCTTCTTTGACTTCTTTATGCCTTCAGATTCTTTTAATTTGTCTTTTGTTCTTGATTTTTTTTCTCTTTTCATGTTGTCTGCATCTCGTTCCTTGTTGGGATCCATCTCTGTAAATGCAGCCAGTGACAGTTTTGCATCATTCCATAGGAATAAAGACATTTACTCACAGCTTTTAATTCATTGTAGACCATCTGGCGCCAAGACAAGTAACCCCTTCATACCTGAATTATGCTGAAGAATTTCCTTCTTCTTTTTGTCCTTTTTTTTTTTTTTTTCATTGTCCAAGGCCCCTCTTGCCCCACTGTCATGGTCAATTTCTAAACTTATTTTTCGGCCATTGAACAGCCTCTCTGAAGGCATCACCTCTAACATCATATTGAATTTGCCCAGTGTGATGTCATCCATTGAGGGCTCCTGGGAAGCCTCCGACTGATCTGCAAAAATAAAGTTTTAACAACACAACAAGGTTGTCAATACAATTGCACAAAAAGTTGTCTTATCCATCTATTGTTATTTACTTTTTTCCGTACTCACCACTCAGTGAAGTACTGCTCCTGGACTGACTGACATCTGAGGAGACAACTTTGTGCTTCCTCTTCTTCTGTCGACTGTCCCGAGTGTCCCTCACCATTTGGGTGTCAGCCCTCCTCCTCTGCTGGTTTTTCATCAGAAGGTTTCGCTGTGGCAGATTGAATAATAAAGCATTTAATTTAAAGTTTTGTGTTGTATACTTTTCAAGGCAGTTCTGATTTGGTGCTTGTGCTGAGACCACACTGCTCTGTGGATATTTCATAGAAAGTCCTTTTGTAGATACAAACATATATGTGAAATGAATTTCACTTCATTTTATTAAATCAGATTATCGGACGCTACATTTATTTTTAATTGTATATCAAAAAATTGACAAGATAATAGATCTGTAGAGAAATATTTAAAGGGTTTATTAGTTAAAAGCAGTCAAACAAGACAAGTCGTTATACACTAAAATAAAGTAAACAAAAGTAAATGTTTGTTTTACGTCTGTTATGACAAAATTATATTCTGTGTTATTATTCACCATTTGACTTGTACTGAAACTCACGCAGTCAGTGGAAAAACTCTGAAACGACCAGCCTGACCTTATGCGTGCTAGCCAGTGATGGGAGATCTACTCCTTATCATTTCTATGGTTCCTGTAAGAGCTTGAAATGAGTATCCACCTCCTTCCTGTTTCTTAGTTACCGTTTGGCCAGATAATCTCACAGGTGGTGATGGTACTGAGGTCAACTTGCCCCCACTCACACACGTGTGTGCTTGTATCCAGCACACTATAAATGTAAAATGCACTAGCTTGCAAACGGTCGTGCTCGTACAGACAAGTGCTTGTGTTGCTCTCTGTAAGACCTGTAAGAACTTTCAATAAAATCTCCAATAAAATGAACAATGTTGTTCATTTTCTGTTTTATTCTTTATTCCAAGGTGACTGTTGACAAAATTGCCAAAACGCATCATAAAAAACAGCATAGCCTTGGAGTAGATTTCCTTCCCAAGTTCAAAGTCTGCAAAAGTGTAAAGAGAACAACAACAATAGTTCCCATTTGGTTTTTAAGGCCAGTATGAACAAAAAAAATCCGTTCTTCTACTACCAGATGTTACTGTTCAGTTATGTGGCACTTTATTACGTTCAAGTCAACATGAAGTTTTATTGTATTTCAGAGTAGCTTATATAATTTTTCAACTATTTTTTTTACTCCTATCTCTTGATTTCAAAATCAGACATTGCTGCTACACTGCTAAAACCGCATCTTCACATTCAAAATAACATCATAACGATGACTCTGAATATAAAAATGGAGAGATAATTATGATGTCTTTTTTGACTTTGTGGAGTAGTATATTTTCTCTGACCTGATGTGTTGTATTTACTAACAATTATGGTTTTGTTTGGTTAATTGAGTGTACAATTTTATGATAAAACAATTCTACTAATGTTTAATTTAGGTCAGAGAGGCAGATGGGTAATACTGTTGTAGCACTGTTTCTACAACAAGACATGAAAAAAATTTAAAGCGTGCTTCAAACTGTATTAACTACATGAGACGAGTACAATCCTTGTTTGTTTACCTGGCTGTCCAGCTTCTGTTGTCTGATGCCGTGACCATTCATAACTAAGCAAAACTAATCACAATATTTATTAAAAAATATAAATATATTCACAGAAAATATGCTGAGAATTCACACTGCCAGTGTATAAATGTAGTATTTACACCACTTTTGGTCTTTTGTGTTTACACTCTAAATGTATTTGTAATTATTTCACTTTATGCAAAATTGATGCTGTGTGTTATCACGTCACATTTCTCTTCCAGTTTGTCCTCCCAGCATTATTTCCTCCATTCTGTTTTCATCTTTTTTTGCTTCCATTGGGGGGTGTAACGTGATACACATGGTGTAAAACAGCAAGAAGAAACAACCAAAAAATATGATGTAATGGTCGCGTGTCACAGCACATTCTTTCATGTGTCTTTCATCTGTTTACATCAAAAGCAGGGCACAGCTTAGGTTAGGGTGGAAGTTGATAGTTTAACAGCAGTTGGCATACGGGCCTATGGCTTTGAGTGTGTGTGTTATCTGTTATCTGCATATGTGTTGAAACAAGCAAAGAACAAAAAGGTTACTGCAAAGTCTGTGGTACACAAGTACTTTTGCTTAAATCTTGAAGACAGAATTAGAGCACAACGCCACTGATAACAATGACACATCAAAGGAGTTGGTGCAAGGCCCTGTTGAAAATCGACATTTTCTGTGATGAACAAGCACATTAATTTACTGAACTTTGGTCTGTTTCTAAACAAGATTAAAGTTTGTGAGTTAATTAAAAAGAGAAGATCATTAGAATTCATTACAAATACTTTTTTGTGACATCAATGTTTGGTGGTGCACTGTGAGATTTTTGTAATGTAAAACATCTGCCATGGTTCATTAAATGTTAGAAAACCATTTATTTTCTTGTAGATCAGGTATTGATTTACAGTTAGCAACACTAGTATTAGTCATTCACATGCCAGTTTGCCATCAAAGGATGACAGAGTGATGGCAAAAGCTTGGAGGGCACACATGGGGAAACTGTAGTCCATAGAGAAGACGTCCTCTGCGACTCGGCCAAACTGCATCACTATGTAGTCATCTGGAGGATGGAGAGAGAGGAATGTGAGGACACACATGGTGAAAGTCATTTAGACTCTGTGTCAGTTGACATTGTACCATTATCAGGATGGATGATTTGAAAGTTCTTGACTGAGGCCTGGGTGACACGTCCATGGAAGTTCAGCACATAAGACTGGGTCTGGTCATTCCAGCTCGGAGATTTGTTCATCAGAGTCACCAGTTTGTCTGTGTTGCCATTAGCGTGGCGGGTCAGCAGAGTTTCCTGCTCCTGAAAGAAAAATTGTTTCAAAAAGTTTCATTCCTGTCAATATTTGGCAGTTTCTCTAGATTTTGAAATCCATACATTCTTTGGCCGGATTGAGACTCTTTCGTCATTCTCCAGCATCCCAGGGATGATCACTGTCATTTTCCTTGGACCCCTGAAGCCTAACACATTTGTTTCCTGAGACAAAAAAAAGAATGTTTTTTTCCCCTGTGAAATGTTGTAGGATTAATCCAGAGGACGGGTGTGGACTCACGTAGCAAATGGCTGCCAGCTCCTGTCGCACAGATTCACACTCTTTAATGAAAGGCTTTTTGTCAGGGTTTTCTCCTTCATCATAGACTGTGAACTTAGTTCCCAGGACATTTGACCTGAGGCAGAGTTTTCTGATGAGATCAGTTACCTGCAACTACAGTTTCTGTCAGGAGTTTTGGAAAATAAACGAGCCATACCTTAGTTTTCCTATATAGCAGTTAGTGTCTCTGGATAGATTAGTCGGGTCTGTGGAGATGAGGTAGTTGGATGTCTTGCACTTTTTCCTTTTCCTGCCCGCCATCAGAAACACCTAGGAGGAGTAAAAACAAGGATAGAAGGAACACGCCTGATGGTACATTTTCAGTTCTGAGAGAGCTTACCCTCTTTCCATCCTCCTTCTCCATGTGGAGGTAATAGGTCGGGTAAATGCCCTTCTCCATGCCCCTCCTGTCTCTTGTGATCCTGCACTGTATGGTAACGTCTCGTGGAGCAGGCCATAAAGCAAACTTCTCTAGGTCCTCCAAAGACATCGGAGACATTGTCTAAATTTTAGAGAGAAAAAAATTAAACTTAGAAACCTTAGTTCCTGTGATACATCAGAAATGTCTTTAGTGTGTATTATTGTGTATTTTGTTTTATCATGCGTATGGCAGAGTGATGTCTGACTCTTTCATGGCTTTCACTCTCTGAGGATGAATTCTCCCTATAGTTGGAGTTCAGCGATGCCAGACTCGGTGTGGTTTTCTCTACTTCCTTTTTCTTTTTCCCCTTTTTCTCCTTTTCCTGAACTTCTTCATCTTTACTTTCATCACTTATTTGGCATCTGGCTGCAGAGATAAAATGAAGAAAGAAGTTGTTCTAAATAACTGTAAAGCATGGTTGATGAAGGCCAGTGTTTATCTACTCACATGTGTCCAACTGTCCTTTCCTTTTAGACAATTTATGGACAGACCTACGAGAACCTTCTTCCTCGTCGTCATCATCATCATCATCACTGTGGTCTTGTTGTTTTGTCTTTGGACTTCCTGAGTCTATCTCTGTCTTTTCATTCAAAGCCTCCTTTAACTGCCTTCCTGTAATGAAGAAATTACAAGTTCAACAGTTGAGTTTTTTCTAAACACAATTTCACAGGGAAGAAGTACAAAGAAAGGTCTATGGGATAGTTCTGATAATTAACATAATCCATGAGAACTCATGTTAGACCAAAATCCGTAGAAAGAATCTTTTCATCACAACACAAGAGTTGTTGATACCCAACTGTCTCCATGATTTTCATTTTCTCACATCTTAACAAATCACAAAAACAGATGTTACTTTTCTGTGATCTGGTTGTCTTGTTCGTCTTCTGTGTGCTGTCACATTCTCTGGCTTTGTTCTTCGTCTTTGTCTTTTTCTCCTCAGTCTCACCTTCATCTTGTTTTCTGTTCTGATCCACCTCTGGGAAAACAGAAACACAGTTGGAGAGGTAAACATGAACAAATACTTGTGAGTACTCCTCTGGAGTACATTTGGACTCATGAAGATCTCCTGTACCGCTGTTGTGCTCAGGTTGGTCCTTCCTCACATCCTTTGGCGTTATTGTGAGCGTAGAAGCATCCTCCTCCTCATCTTCTTCACACTTTACCTCAGAGTCTTCCTCAATGTCCAAATCCATCTTCTTCGGAGAGAAGGGCTTCTCCACGGGCAGCTCCTCTAATGTGACGCTTGTGGTCAGATTGCATTCGCCCAGAGTGATTTCATCCACAGGGTTGTCATGAGCGTGCTCCACTTGATCTGCAGGAATAAATGTGAGATTTCAAGTTACTCGAATACTTTGTGCACATTTTCACATATCCTTTCCTGAAACAGTTAATAACATGCTGCACGACCACTCACCACTGAGGGACATGCTGCTCAGAGATTGGCTGATGAGCAGAACTGTTTCATCAGAGCCAATAGGCTTGTGCTTTCTTTTCTTCTGGCGACTGTCCCGAGTGTCCGTCACCATTTGGGTGTCAGTCCTCTTCTTCTGCTGCTTTTTCATCAGAAGTGTTCGCTGTGAACACAGGATGAAAACACAACTGTAATGATGAATGACCAGGGGTCTTCAAAGTCTGACTGAGTGCGGTCAGACTACCCCCCCGCCCCCCGTGTTCATGGATTGTACATCCCCAGTTCATCTTATTGTGCAATGTAAAAACCACCACCCTTGTTATTCTGCACTTATTAAAAGGATATTAAAAAAATAGGTTCTTTAGTATGTTTCAATTTCTCTTGTCCAGCAAACCAAAAATATGTTGAACATCTTTAGAATATTATAAAAAACCATGTGTTTTACCTGGTTGTCCAGTTTCTGTTGTCTCATGTCAGCGTTCTCCATGTCCAAGCAAGGATAAACAGAATTAAAATAAAGAATAAGGTTCAATCTGTTTGAATAAAAATAAAAAGACAGAAGGAGGCGTTTGGTCACACCAGCCTTCTCCGTCTGACAGTCGCTCCACCTGCGTGTGGCAGAAGGCAAAGTGGATTAAAGAGGGATAATGTTCTTAAAGTGCGCAGCACAGCTCAGTCTGTGTGGAGAAGGTGTACAGCCTGGCATGTGAGATAAACACAGCCACTGTATTTTGCTATTGTCACTATACTAACATTTTATTTCCTAAAATGAACTAAATTCTGAAACTTCAATTAACAAAGTCAGGATGAAGTACATGAAAAATCGGATTCTCTATTTTACCACTGTATTTGTTTGTGTCAGGGACTGATACGTGACATCATGGTTGTAAATAACTACTGACATGTACAGCATACAGAGTGCAGGTGTAAATCAATCCAATCAAGCAAAACTATGAGGGTGTTTTTCCTTCACCCTCATTGCTCCCGGGGGACATTGACTTCATCACTTGGCATGTCTAAAAAATCTGCCAACCCTGTGTTTTAGTTTTTGTCAAATTGTTAAAGCACTTTGAGCTGCATGATTATATAAAAGGTGCTATACAAGTAAAATTATTATAATTATTATAAATATGCTGTACTTAGTAAGACAGACAATGTAAGAGCAAAATAAACTTTTACAAACTCTTACATTGTCTGTCTTACTAAGTACAGCGTATTTACACCTGCACTCAAGCTGTACATATTTTTGTATGACCCCTTAAAATCAACTTGGCCTGTGAGCCACAGTTTGGGGCCTATTACACCCATTGTATGTATTTGTGTAAACCCGGAAACAAAATAAGAGAATGGGGAAAAGAGGTTGCTGGGATACATGTCTAAACAGGAAGTGTTTTAGACACTTCGTGGGTGATTTTAGTCATCGAAAGTGTCGGTTTGTGCTACATCAAAGTCAAACGCGTTCCCTTTACGCTAATCTAATGTCATCGATACTAATAAATAAATAAAAGAGAAGAGAGTAGGACCAGAGGGAGGCGCTAATTTTACGCTGTGAGAGCGAACTTTAAAGAAACCGCATCACAGATTAAGTAAAAGAGTAGGGACGAGGCGAGGAGAGCAACAAACAAAACCAACGAACATTTCTGCCTGTAGATGTCCGGTTATAAAGATTTCGTCATCAATAAATCATGACCACAGTGGAAAAGGAAATAAAGGTAAAGTGGTCTCGTCGAGTTTATTTGAGTCAAACAGTACATGTTTGATTAAATGAACTATTTCCCATGTATGTTCTGTGTAACCTTTTTGTATTACAGCTAACTTTTAGTTAAAACTTTGGGACGCTTTTAGCTCTAATTTTGACCACATCACATTTGGATTATGTTTGATAAATATAAGTGTAGAATTTGTTTGCTATGTAGATTTTTTGTATTTGTTTTGTTGTTTTTAGTGATTTAGGTATTTTAGACCATTTTACATGCAGTTTTTGACTCAAATGTGTTACTGTTTTTGGCTAACCGTTGCTAAACCCTGACCAAATATATTTGTGCTATAAGTCTCTGACTTCCAAGACTAACTATTGTCTTTTTGGACAACTTTTAGCCATGAGGTCTTACATATACATTTAAATTGTTTGGCAAAATTTCATCTGCCCCCTCTACTCTAAAAGGTGAAGTAACAAAGATGACCGTTAAATTTTAATCTGACCAGACTGTTTTATTTTCCTGTTGTAGGTCCCTAATGTCCTCAGGCCAACAGTGATGTTATGGTGAGTTCTTCACATGTGACATGTTCTTCATGGTCTTCTGTCTTTACACACAACTTTACACTTATTTTCAGGACGGACGTGACATATCATGACATGGAAATGATCGACAACACAAAGTCTATTCCTGATCTGGAGAGGTGACTGTGTCTTTGTATGGTCCTGATCACACAGACATACACACCAGTGCTTACTTTTCATCTTGTCTCCCCACAGTATGTTACAAACTGTTTTGAAAATCGACTTTGATGAACCAAAACGAGGAGTTCTGCTGGAGCTCTATGTGCAAACTGTGCTTTTCTGCCGAGAGAACAACTTCAACAAGGAGCAAACGTCTGCTGTGCTCTCCATCGTCAAATCTGTCCACCAGGCTAATGTAGGTGAGTGGAGTCTGGTCGCCATCACTGTCTTTTCTTCTTGTTGGTTATAGTTTATTCACCAAGACAAGTTGGGAAATATGTACTGGAGCTCTTTTACCCACAAGGTCTTCTACAACAGATCATGATTTCAGTTTTGGAAACACAGCACAATTTTGCTCACTGTAGTATTATTTTTTTTTTGCACCTTTTTAATAGATTTTTAGTTTGTTTTGATTATCTGCATTCCTACATTATATTTTATATAATCATAAGTAATTCAGAACTGTTGATAATTGTACATGTTGGATGTAAATGCTGACAGGTGAGATCTGCTGCTGGTTAATGTCAATTTCACAATAGATTGATTTATACTGACAAAGTTAATAGGTTTATTGTTTTAACCTTGTTTTTTTTTTCCAGAGACGCCACTTGACAACATTGACCAGTGTTTGAAATACTGCAACGAGCTCCTGCTCTGTCACTCCGTCAGGGTGTGTAAAACAGTCCCCAGTCAGTCACATTAAGTCACACGTTTTGGCCAACATTGTGAAGTTAAATTATTGCATCTCAATGTCTGTGTGGACTGCAGCGCCCTCCCTTCAGCATCAACATCTTCAGCTACCAGGAGGCAGACAACATTGTACAGTATGTCAACAGCACTTATATGAGACACTACAAGCTGTACAAATATATCTTCACCCCCCAGGTGAGAGCATAAAGGTCAATGTGTTATTTATTTGTAAATGTTTTGAGTTAATCTACATGCGTGCAATTTAAAAGTGGACTTTTGTTTTTTTTCCTCTCTCATTATTTTGTTTAGGTTAAACTTAATTTGACTTTATCTTATGCTCCAGTCCCAGAACCTGAAGTGGTTCCTGTCCCAGGTAATCCATTTAAAGTAGTGCTGTTGATGTAGTTTTACACATGGACAGAATGACGCCCACTGTTATCCAATACTTCCTCTGTCCGTAGTAGTTCAATAGAGATGAAGACATTTTACCACAGGATTTAAACCATTATTTCTTTTCATGTGTAGAAGAGGTAGATGCTGTGTCAGATGAAACAGAAGAGGAGAAAGAGTTTACACTTGGTACGACCCTTCATGTACAACAGCACCAAGTGACACTGTGCAAAACCTAGTTTGCTTTGTTACCTACTTTCCTGGTCTGACTTTCAGGTCAGAAGACATCAGAACTGAAGACACTGATCGAGAAAGAAGTCCAAGAACAGATGACACTCGTTTCTGCCAAGCTGGATGAGAAGATGAAAGCTCTTGCGGGTAATCAAAGCAAGAAATCAGACTCTCAGCAGTCCAAAAGAGGTCAAAAGGCCAAGAAGAAATAAGCTCACTCAAACACTGACTGAAATTTGTTTAATTATTAATAAAAATAATAACTTCAGTACACAGCAGTACACTGAATGTTTTTTAAGTAAATGTGCAAATGTTGTACATTTCTCAGACAGGAAGTTTGAGGAAAAGTGACACTGAGGAATGAGGTGAGTAGGAAACACAGCTCCAGTCAGAGAAATGGTCACAAATGGGTTTCACTGTACATGAGTGGGTTTCCTCCTGAGAAATGTCTGCATGCTTGATGGGTTTCCACCACAACTCCTCACAGTACTGTATTTAAATGTAACACTAGTTTATACACTGGACCACTCTTTAGTTTCAACACTGTATACATCTGTATAAGTATATATTAAATAATTAATCACAGTGCTTCAACATTCACTTTAACCACACAGTGCTCAGATATGCATCTTGTCTGTAATCTCAACCATTGATCAGCATTTAAAATTTCTCAATAAACAGTAATTTAACAATGCACCCATAATGTACAGAATGTAGTGGGTTCTACCCTAATGGACCAAAAAGAAAATATGTTCATAGCTCCATGCAGATAGGGAGTACAACGTTTTGCATGCTTTATATGTACTTTCAGAGCCAAAGTTTAGATTTAAGGAAACCTCACAATTTTTATTGGTAGCTCTGTTGTTGAGGACATATGAGCAAGTTCGTGCGTTGTTACAAAGTTGATGCCCTGCACTTATTATTATATTTTGAGCACTTTTGGTGAGGAGCAGTTTGAAAATGTGTTCATAATGACAGCCCGCATAGGCTTTTTAGCAACAGAGCTATTTAAGTTTCTTCAAAGCACATAAAAACGTCCCAGTCTCTCATTTCCCTCGTCCTAAAATCAAAGACAGTAACTCAAAGTTAGAAAAACAAAATTGCCATTCAAGCCTATGAAAAGGTTAAATATTAACATCAAGGTGATGATGAGGATTGAGGATGATCCTTTTATGTTTCAAACTCCTCCAGGCCCAGCAGCATGATCTTAGCTGTGTTCTGGAAGAGAGCGGCTCGGTTCTGCTGCTCCCCCTTTTTCACCCAGTGGCCGTAGATACGAAAGGCGCAGCCATCAATGAGTTTGCGGACTCCTCGGATGGAGTAAGGGTCTCTGGCCAGCACCTCCCGAGTCAGTGGTCGGACTCTACGGTAACGGCTATACATTCTGATACAAGCTAGTACAGTGACTATCAACACCTGAGAGGAAAAGGAGTGAAGAAAACAGATGAGAGTTTTGTCTTCTATAGTGACAAGTACAAGTTCAGTCAAAAGTAACAATCACCTTAAATGTTTTTCTGGGACTAAAATGTCGCACATCCTCCTTCTGGTACTGTCTAAAGAAGGGATGTGTCAACGCCTGTTCAGCTGTGAGACGAACAGCGGGTTCCACCACAAGTAACCTGGTTATCTGGAGATCACAAATGAAGAGAAAAACAGAAAAATGACTACATGAGTAGTTAAGTCAACGGCCCTAATAATCCCTAACGGTTATCTCTAAATGGCAAAAGTTGCAACAATGGTTTAAAGTTATCTAAAAACAAACAGAACTAGCAAAGAGAGGAAAAGAAAAAGATTTAACAATAATAATGTTATTAGAAAATAATCAAAACAATTAAAATACAATGTAGGATTAAGCTTACTGTAAGCTCAAAACAGCTAAAAGTGATCAGAATATGATCAAACATTTCTACAAAGTTAAAAATCCCCAGAAGAAAAAACTGACCAGATCTTTGACAGTGTCAGATCGGTCGTCCCACTCTGGAGAACTGAACTGATATCGACCCTCCATGATCATCCTCAGCATCAGCATCTGTTTGCGATGCCAGAACGGCGGCGAGCCAGCCAGTAACGTGAACAGGATCACACCACAGGCCCACCTTGATACCACGAAACCGTCACAACATGTCAGTAAGAATGAGGTCAATACTGAGGCATACAGGCTGTAGTTTTACTAAAACAATAAAAAAGACTCACAGGTCAACTTCCTGACCATAACCTGGGTGCATGTCATCCATGGAACATTTCAGTATCTCAGGGGCCAGATATCCAGGTGTTCCACAAAGCTCTGATGAAAACAGAATTAAAATGGTACCTTTTCATCTTATTGACCATGTAACACTTTAAACACTGCAGTTATTACTACTGACCTCTGAGTTTCTCTTCAGGCTGCAAGTGCACAGAGAATCCAAAGTCGGACAGTTTGATGTGTCCTTGATCGTCCAGGAGAATGTTCTCAGGTTTCAAATCCCTATGGACGATGTTGAGGGAGTGGAGGTACTGCACGGCTTCCAACAGGGCACGCATCATACTCCTGCAGTTGCACACCAACATGTTTTTAAACACACACTCTACTACAACAGGGCAGTGGACTGATGCTGGTGCTCACCTGGTTTCTTTTTCACTCAGAGTAACCTTTTCTGTGAGGTAGTCAAACAGCTCCCCCCGCCTCATGCTGAAAAACAAAACAAAGTTTTAGGAGAAAGTCTAAAAAACGAAATGGACATTCTTTAGACTTGACGTCATACTCACAGGTCAAACACCAAAAATATAAAGGTTGTGGATTCATAGGAATCAATGAGTGTAACTAAAAGAACAGGAGTCACATAAAAAAGTTATGACATGACAAAATATTTTAGTATATTGGACTTTAGAAGAATAGAATTCCGACATACTGATTGAGGAGTGTCCCTTCACCATGTTGAGGACTTGGATCTCCTTCAGCGTGGAGGTTTTCACCTCCTCCAGCTGCTGCACTGTCATCTTCTCTGCTGTGATCTCAATAATCTTCACCGCCAGCTCCTGACCCGTGTGTCTGTGCACACATCTGCGCACCACACTGCTCACACCTCTAGAAAATTGATGTCATAGATAACAACATTCAATTAAAAGAAAAGAAAGAAGGTATTTTTCTCCAGATATCTTTTGCAGGACTCACCTGCCGATCACCTCTTTTGGGTCATATTTTTGGTAGAACTCCTTGGCCCCGACCCAGTCTGGTAATTCATCTCCAACAACAATGTCTTTGGTCATGGTGACAGCATATGTCTAAAACAACAACAAAATGCCACTCATTTAAATGCATGGTAAAAAAAAAAACCAACAAACAAAAAAATAAAAAACATTTTTCTGTCGTTCTAAAAAATGCACTTCTTTTTACAATAACACAGACTAAAACTCAACCACTTTCGTGTATTCAAATCTTTAGCTCTTTAAGGCATCTACATTTAAAATATCAACAAATAGCTAAAGAAATAAAAGGAAAATAGAAAAGAAAAGACAGAGCAGACATTGTTGAGACTGTATTACTACTTTGTATTGGGTGATGGTTCCTGAACCATGCCCCTACCCTCCCTACACATCACCACATTCTCGGCTGTTGCTTCATAACTAATCAGAACTTTAAGAATGATCATGTTATTGATATAAGACATATATTCTCATTGAACAAAGTAAATAATATTCACAGGGACACAAAAAATGTTGACAAAATGTCTCTCCTTCAATAGCTCTATGCCCCCACCAACTGGTGTTTGTTTTTTCAGATATCATGAAGCTAAAACGTTGAGATGTCAATTTTGTCCTGTAATTAAATAACCTTACCCTTGATACATCCACACTGTAGGATAACTGTGCTCTCCGACCTTCAAAAGCGACAGCAGGTTCACTGACCCTCCAGGAAACAACTGTACCTACCGTTTGAGACCCGAGAAAGACCGGAATGGAAGCTGTTAATCAATAATCACAATGATAGCGCCATGTTCAACTAATAAACATAAAGGAGAGTCGGTACGATTCGACAGCTTACATAGAAAAGTTAGCAGCTATAACGATAGTGGCTAACATCTGAACACTGTTTACATTCTAGTTCCTCAAAACGCTCAGCTCCAGCCAGGATGCAACAGTGCTGCCTCCATGAGGCCGGAGTGACGGTTGCGTTACGAATTATATTATTATTTTAATAATAATAATATTTTTTAAAAATGTATTTTAAATCCAGGTTTACATGAACGAGGGTATTTTAATAGTATAATTATGCTGTTGTTAGCTTAGTTTTTTTTAATCAAAACCCCAGCGGACGTTTATTGTCGTCATTTCCTGAAGCTGCTCCGCATCCTCTTGGCTACGTTTCAGCCGTTCCTTTGGAAGGTTTGTAATTTAAAAATATAGAACAGGCTATTTTGGACGTTTCGCAAGTTTTTTCGCAGAACATTTTAGCTGTGTATTGATAGTTAACCGATAATAAAGTCTACAAACACGACGGACAAAGACTGACGTTTAGCTTAACGAAACGACTTGTACGACAGCATTAGCACAGTTAGCATCAGCGCGTTTGCTAATATTCTTAAGTCATAGTAGAAATGTTTTGTTTGTTGCTTCCCGGCGTTTTGGTGACATATGAATTAACTAATGTTACATGCTTGATTCTTAAACTAGTGGAACCACATGGAATGAAAAATGAACCGGTGTCTCATCTTCGGTCCTTCTTTTGTAGTAATTTTTGTAAAGGCTAGTTAGCAAAAATAAAAAATTACAAAGCTGAAACCTTACACTTTAGTTTCATTGTGTATGATATTTTGCAGGGGAAGGAAAGATGTCAGGTACCGGGGGAGGGAAACGTCCCTCAGGTGGAGACAGTCCCCCTGGTCCCCCTGAGAAGAAAAGCAAAAAAGAGGAGAAGACTACGACCACTCTCATTGAGCCCATTCGAATAGCAGGGGTGTCATCCACTGTAAGCAAATTTCAGCGTTCATTCCTGTTTCGTCCGAACATATTTATACATTTGCACCAAAATGTCCCTCTAATATTTCATCTTTGTAGGAGGAAATGGACATGAAAGTAATGCAGTTTAAGAACAAAAAGCTGTCTGAGAGACTTGAACAGAGACAGGCGATGGAGGACGAGTTACGAGAGAAAATTGAGAAGCTGGAGAAGAGACAAGCCACTGATGACACCACTCTACTAATTGTCAACCGTTACTGGTCACAGGTAAGTTCTGCTCTTCAGAATTCTTTAATTGATATTTCTGAAAAAATGTTTAAAGGTAAATATTTGTTACATTCTTTTAAAGGACTTACCTTTTTACTTTTCACCTTACAGATAATGGTTTTGTTCATGTGTGTTGCTTTTGTTCTAGTTTACTGGTTTTGTTTTTTTGTTAATGTAGTAAAATCTGTTATTCACATAAATGTAATCATCTATGTGATCTAAATGATGGACTCGGTTTTTACAAAATAACCCAATATTTCAACCTCTGTGTTTCTAACTCGCAGTTGGAAGAGAATGTGCAAATTTTACGCAAACGCATTGAGCCCCAGTCTCCAGTAAAATCCACCCCGGCGATACCCATGGTCCCCGTCTCTGATCCAACTCCTATGGATGAAGATGGGGTCAGTCTGTCTTCACCAACATCTTCCGTTCCCCTTCCTCCCCTTCCTGAGGCCCAACATGAAGAGGAGCGAGTAGAGAAACAGCAAGAGGAAAGTCAGGAGCAGCATCAGGAAGAGCGCCAGGAGGAGCAACAGCAACAGCAGCCTCCTCTTCCTGCTGGATCAGAAGAGACAATGGCACCAACTGAGCCTCCTCAGGAGTCAACCGCAGGTAAGATGATTCATACATCTATAAACTAGATGCATTTATTATGTAATCTGTTACTGTGAATAACATCTCATATCTAAACCATCTAAACTTCATATGATATTAAACTTAAAATCAAACTAATTTATTATGTGTTTGCACTAGTTGCATCGCTTTGTTTCTTTCTGATTTTGTGTATGGCATCAGGCATTGTGTGGCTGTTGATTTACTCATACCAGACCCTGATACGTTCATGGAAGTATTCTCATTTAGTCTTCAACAATATATGTTTTTAAGGTGGTACATCCACTTTTCCTGAGGAAAAAATTAGAATTAATGATTTAAAAAAGAACTGTCTGTATTGTATATTGTTATAAATATATATAAAAATATATATCTCCTCTTTAGAAACCACACCACCTCCTCCTCCTCTAAGTGAGAATGCCAAAGGGTTTCTAACCACACTGGAACACAGCAGCGAGGAAGAGCTCAGCCTTCACCTTCAAGGTCGCATGCAGTTCAGCAAAGAGGCCATCGCCTGTTTGGTCTGCGTGTTTGACAGGCTGCACAGCCGAATCTCTGACATGTGCAAACAAGTCCAAACTGCCAGTAAGTGTTGAGGGTCTTGTCTTGTTTTTCCTTCACCAATCAGCTTAATTTCAAGTGCGTTAAGATAGATAGAGAAATAGATAGTACTTTATTAATCCCTTGGGAGTTCCCTTTGGGAAATTTAGGCTCCAGCCGCAGCAGCAGTATAGCACCAAAACAACAGTAAAAACACACAAATAGGTGAAATACAATAAAATACAAACATGAGTAGCGGCACTCTGTCAATGAAAATGGGAAACCTGAACAGTGGATGTTAGCAGATTAGTAGGTTACTAGAAGTAGTTAGATAGTGTTATTAGTATTAGTAGGTAATTATTGTTGCCATGTATGGTGTTGTTGATGGCAATCTCAATTATTATTTATTATTATATTTCAATTATACCATTGTTAAATTGCTGCTAATGTGATGCTCATTTACAGCATGTGAGGATGACAGCCAGTCTGACATCATCAGTTTAATGCACACACTTCTGGATGACAATAACCGACTGAGGGATCTGGCCACCGTCCTGCAGGGTCGTCATCATAAAATGTCTATGGAGGTAGAGTTTCTTAAATGTTGGTTGTGTCACAATGTATGATGAATGTCCACGCGTGTATGTTTTGAGAGTGTGATTTCTTCCAGTGCACTTGCAGGTGAGGCCAGATACAACTGTTGTTTATACTACTTTGGCGTTTTGAACCAGCGAAAAAACAAAAAAAGCTGCAAACAAGAAAAATCTCTGAAACAACATTGTTTTTTTTAACTTTTCATAAATATAGAAAGCTCATTGTGATTCTTGGACTTCCTGGACACATAGACACACAGGCCCAGGGTATCACAATAATTAAGCTTTATACTTCATTCTTATAGATGTTCCCTGTAATGCAGGTTTAATAAAAGAAGTCAGACAAAGACAAGTTATTCTCTTCAGGTTTACTGTTACTTAGCAATGTGAGTATGTTGTGATGTTCTATTTCTTTAGGTTTATTTTTCTTCACTCTTTCATGTTCTGCAGTACAATGAGTTGGTAGACAAGGTGACCAGCTCTGAGACCAAGGTCTCTGAGATGGAGACAACAGTAGAGGATCTGCAGTGGGACATTGAGAAACTCCGCAACAGGGAACAGAAGCTCAACAAACATCTGGCTGAGGCCATGGAGCAGGTGCATTTAAGAAATGAAAAAATGTCTGTGTGGTGAGCTTTTTTCTGTCCACCATGCAGAAGACAGTCTTTTCTATTATAAAACCAAAAAATAACATCAAATTTGATGTTTTTTTTATGTTAATAATTAATCTTTTTTTTTTTTTTATTCTTAATTTTGAATTTGTGTCTCCGTTGTCAGCTGAAGTCTGGATACAGCAGCACTGGCAGCTCTGGTGGTCTCCCTGGTGGTCAGATTACACTGAACATTCAGAAGGTGAGTTAATGAGAAACAGATTGTTCTAGTTAATTTAGATTTAATATATCAGATCTAAATTCTAGTAAAACAATGGTTCGTTGTTGTTTTTTTTATTCTTTCTTTCTTTTTGTACCATGCATATTTTACCATATAACATGTTGTTCTTGATCTCATCTCAGTTTGAGAGTCTCAATGCGGAACTGGAGCACAACCAGGAGTTGGCAAATAGCCGCATGGCAGAGTTAGAGAAACTGCAGGCGGAACTACAGGAGGCTGTGAGAGAAAGCGAGAAGCTCAAGGTACATCAAGTATTTGATCGTCTGATAGGAGTTTTCTTTTAATTCCTTTTCTATTTTTTTCAAATGTAGGACAAGCATTGTTTCAGTGCTGTTTACACTTATTTGGGTCTGAACTTTTATCAGCGCTACAAGATGAATGCATTAAATATTATGTACATTATAATTGTGTAATAAAACGATTATCCACAACTTTTACAGTTTCCTACTGTTGGTTTACTGTATCTACTGTAAGTTTTCCATACTTATTTTTTTTTGTCTTCTAATATACATCTTAATTTTTTAGATGGATTTGCGCAACATTCCAGAAGAGGTAGTAAAGGAAACCTTGGAGTACAAATGTCTGCAGTCTCAGTTTTCTCTGCTGTACAATGAGTCTCTAGGGGTCAAAACACAACTGGATGAGGCACGGGCGCTCCTGCTCACTGCAAAGAACGCCCACCTCCGACATATAGAACACATGGAGGTAAATCTCTAAACATATGTTCTTCTAATTAAACAAAAAATCCTTCAAATAAACATGCAGTACAGAATGGAAGCCACAGAAATCGTTCATAACACTTGCACTCCTGTTGCATTTTTTATTTTGTCTTGATATTTTTTGCCCATTCCTGTTATTTCTGTTGCTTGGCAACACATTGAGCACTGTCCTGTGTTTTCAACCATTCAGAGTGATGAGTTGTCTGTTCAAAAGAAGCTGCGGACTGAAGTCATTCAGCTGGAAGATACCTTGGCCCAGGTGCGCAAAGAGTATGAAATGCTGCGCATTGAGTTTGAGCAGAACCTGGCAGCCAATGAACAAGCAGGTACAGTCTAATGCACAAATGCATCACCAGAGAAACTTACAGAAAATAACAGGTTGAAACAGTAGTAAGCTAAGAAGAGTATGACATTTTTTTAAAGGACTGGGTAAATTACACTTAAATGGCTTCAGGTTACTTTTGTTTAACTTTTTTCCGTTTCCAATTCCAGGCATGTTTTTATTTCAGTTGAATTCTTGTCACAGTTAGCCTAAAATGTAAAAGTAAGCAATCAGTAGTATCTCAGATTAGGTATTCTCAATCAGTGTTTCTTTTGGGCGTCTGTATTAGGACTGCCAACTTGCCAACATGTTGTACACCTGTGCTTTGCTTATCTACAGTATTCTATTCTTTTCTATTTTGTTGTTTGCCGGTGCAAGACTTTAAAGGTTGGGTCTCAAACAACACTTGTCTGCCCAATCAGACTGAAATGAGCAGCAGTTTCTTTGTCTTTGCCTGATACCTGCTGCCACACACCTGTCACCTGTGTTTGTGACACAGCTGAGTCACATTTTCTCTAACAATTTCAGACTGTGCTAAATAATCACATCTCATAATAATCCGTCTCTAATTAGCCCCAGGATCTTTAGAACAACCATTTAGTTTTCAGATTCAGGGCACCGCCACACCTATGTTGTTTGATTTATGACTAGTAATTTATATTGCATTAACGTGAGCTGATGTTGTAACTGTGTGTATGATGCTAGAAATCTCCTTTTTTTTTAAATGACAGTAAAGGCACCACTGTCTCTCCTCTGGCTCTAGTTAGTTAGATTAACCCAAGTACCTGAGTTAGTCAGTTAGGCACAGAGAAAGGGTCACGTCCCTAAGCGCAAACACTGCTACTCCTTTTGTTTACCTCACTTGGAATCACACTGCGGCCACAAGTGGCCTCCAATCTCGTTTCCAAGCAACTGCAGTGTGATATTTGTGGATCAACAACACATCATAGTTTCCACCATCGTCAGTGCCATGACTAAATCATCTATTTGACCTTTTTGTTTAAATTGTCCTGAAACATTTCAATATTTATAAGTAATGTGAAATTAAAAAAATGACGTGTTCTGTGAACCTTATTGAATGATCTCTGACACGTGTAAAATATCTAACAGTATATTTTGATGTCATAGAAGTCAAAATGACATGAGATACTGATGAAGAAAGATTTTTTACAATGTCTGTTAGTTCAGTGGGAACAGTTCTTACACAGACCCTGTGTTGTTTATAACCTCATGTCACTTACAGCATCATCATTTACAGCTCTGTATAATGTTAAATGAGTCATATCTAAACCACATGTTGACTCTGCCCCGTGTGTGTGTCTTTGTGTGTTTGCATATTCTCCCAGGACCAATCAACAGGGAGATGCGACACCTGATCAGCAGTCTGCAGAACCACAACCTGCAGCTCAAAGGAGATGTACAGCGTTATAAGAGGAAGCTACGTGAAACCCAGATGGAGATCAATAAGGTATAAGACTTGATGAGAAACGCTGAACGTCTCACAAATGTCTCGTTTTGACTTTGTTATTGTGTTTTATCGACAGTTGCGGTGTCAAAGCGGTGACACAGGGGTCCTGATTCTAGAGGAGACGACGAGTGACAGCATGGATGTGAAGAAAGAGGAGGATGAAGATCAGGAGGAAGAGGAAGAGAGGAAGAAGGAGCTGGAAAGGCAAAGAGCCAGGGAGAGAGAGAGGGAGGCTGAGCGAGAGCGGGAAAGGGAGAGAGAGAGGGAGAGGCAGCGCAGTGATGAGATGAAGAGGAAAGACTCGGACACACTGAAGATGCTACGAGTGGAACTCAAGTAAATTGCCTCTTCTGTCAGTTTAAGCATGTAGCTACAAGTCAAAATGAGAGAGAGACTTGTATATTGACCTCAAAAACTGTGCTGCAGCAGAGTTTGCCAAGCATTACCCCAAATGAAATCCCCGTTTTGCCCAGCAGTAAAGCAATAATTGATAGCAAAAAGATTGGCACCACTTCACGCTAACTTGTTATTTCACAGCGGTTTATACAAAAACAAATTGTCTAACTGATGGGGGCATACTTTTGGATTAAAGGTTATTAGAGCACCAAAAACCTTTACTATCTACTGTATTGACTTTGCTAAAGTTAAACCATCATCAAGTGCCTGTATAATGTGAATAGGAACACTGTATTTAGGTTAAGGCTCTCATGTGTCCGAACACGTTATGTTTTTGAAAGATGTGACAGTGTAAAAGAAGTGACATTTTTTAAATTTCTTTTAATTTTACAAATACCTCAGACCTTAATACTGTGACTGTTGTTATTTTCATTCTCCCCAGGAAAGCCCAGGAGTCCCAGAAAGAGATGAAGCTCTTGTTAGACATGTATAAGTCGGCACCAAAGGAACAGAGAGATAAAGTGCAGCTCATGGCTGCTGAGCGGAAAGCCAAAGCGGAGGTTGTTTTTTTTTGTAGAGACTTCTTTCTTTCTGACACTTTCGTTGTTTCCATGTATTTCCATGTCTGTCCTCACCCTCAACTTTAAACACCCAGGTTGATGAGATGAGGATGAGGGTACGAGATCTGGAAGAAAGGGAGAGGAAGGAGAGCAAGAAGCTGGCTGATGAAGATGCCCTCAGGAAGATCAGAGTTGCAGAAGAGACAATTGAGCACCTGCAGAAGAAACTCGCAGCCACCAAGCAGGTATCTGCGTGTTTTCTTTTCCCTCTGACGTAGCACCTGGCAGCTGCAGCTGGTCACAACGAGGGCCTGCTTTCATATTTTTATTCTAAAAAGTGTGCCTCAAGAGGAACTGACTCACAGGCTGTGCTTACATTAATTTTTCATAGTCTTTATGAGAAAACCTGAAACCAGCCGGACAGCAGAGATATGATTATAAACAAAGCAGCTGTGCTACAGACCAGTGCACCGATCATGACATTGGCTGCAGAAATGGGTTTATCCTCCTTTTTAACCACTAAAGAGGAACTGAAATCTAAGGCTTTGGACCTGAACCTCTCTCTACTGGTCTCCAGGTTCTCTTGCCTCCCTTAAGTAGATCTTGTTTTCGTCTGCATCTGTCCATTTGGCTTGGTGCACTTCTCAGAAATCAAGAACCAATTTTGTTGAAACTAAGCGATGGAGAAATGATTAAATTAAATCATTAGTTTTTTGGATATCTTAGTGGAATCCGAGTGGCTTTAAAAAAGGATTACACTCCACGTGTGATTTCTCCTATTTTCCAAGGGAAAAAAGTTTTGCTTTACAAATATATTAATAAATTGGTTGTCACATGCTACATCTATTTAGATCTTGAAGTAAACAAAAAATACAATATATACTATTTCAGCTTTTGTATACTTACTTCAATAGATGTCATTGTCAGCATAGCTGTTCTCTTAAATCATCAGTATCTGAAATAGCATAAAGTGCAACTGATTTTATTATATTTATTTTATCCTAGGCTATTGTAGTCTGCTATTCAGCGAAAAAAGGAAAATAAATTCATTCATCTTCTATTGCTTCATCTCGGGGTTACACGAAGCCTGAGGTCTATCATATATTTATACTTACAATGGCCCCCCGTAGTTAATGTAGTGTGAACATGAAACCATTACAGTATCTGACAAGTGTTAAATTTCACTGTAGTGGACATATGGAAACTCCCTAATTAAATAACCTGCTCAGTGGAATAACATTGACTCAGGTGTTAGTTTTTAATTATGATAAGTGTATAAAGGTAATAACTTACTCGGAATCATATAATCTCCATTTATTATATAATTGAAAAGATTTAGCCCTCATTTTATGTGAGTGCCCTTTTCTGCACAACAATTAGCTGTAATAAGTTCAGAGAAAAAAAATCAGTTTCACTGTTTGCATGTTCTCAAACTGTAATTAAATCAATTATAGAAAATGGTCCAAAAGTGAAGCAGTGGTTTTAGAGACAGCTGCAGAGATGTGATAGCCTAAAGCTTCTTGCACACTGGGATCTCCCTCAGAACATTGTTAAGTGAAAGAAAAACACAGTCTGGACACATTCTCTGGACTCATTTGTTCAACTACTGTGTTTTTCACATTCTCTGGACTCATTTGTTCAACTTTTACTTTGCTTTATTGTCTGGTTTATGAGAGGGAAAAAAATCAGGCAACCAGACAGTTTTGGATTTGGGTGTGTTTGATTTGTTCCTGTCTTCATGAATTTGAACTTGTAGGTTGTCAGAACTACTTGTGAGTTCACGATGCGTCTTTGGATTGTAGGCTTTAAGTTAAAATGCGGGATAAAACAAACTACTGTAGTTGTGGATACAGTTCGAGTTATTTATTACTATCAGGCCAGTGAATTAGTAATACAATTGCAGTAGTCAGGTTATGTTATTATGTAACCTTGGATTTTAACATCTCCACTTCTTTTGGGTTTTTTTAGAACCACAATTAACCTTTTTTGCTAATGTTTGCGGGGCTGTAAGAGCATACAACTTTTAATCTGATTAGTCACAGAGTAGATTGTTTTTGATTACTCAAAATAAATTGAAATAAATCAACTTTTCTGAATATGGCATAGAACAACAGGTAGATGTATGTGTTTCACTCCTATTTGTATTTGGGACTAATCCAAATGATGGAATTTTTAATTTGGAGAATTTTCAAGAATGATATTCAAAAGTATAATTCCAAATTTGACTTCATAGAGTTGGTGGATTTTAGTGGTTACTATGTATTGTTCACAGCCTGTAGAGTAGATTAATTTTTACATCAGGTAAAATATCTACAGTACTGTTTAAACTCACTTTAAACTCAAGTTTCTTTTCCACTACACCTTTTGAGAATTTTGCTATGTTTAGTTTTTGTATTAATAGTATTTTAAACATAATTTACTTGATAAGCAACTTTATTTGTTATGAGTAGACATCTAGACAAAATAGCAACTTTATATGGGACCCCCCAAAAAGTTCTGTGACTAATGTGTGATTTCCCACAGTCTTAAAATACAACTGTGGTGCATCATCTCTGAAGACCTTAGGTTTAATTAGAGGGACAGAGAAGTGAAACTAATTTGCACAAACCAATTTTTTCAACAGTCAAAAACAGATGATGAAGTTAGTGTTTTTCTGTTTTTGTAAACTAAAGTCACGTCTTTGATCAGCGATGCATGCTTTTCTGTGTAGGAGGAAGAAGCCCTGCTGAGTGAGATGGACGTCACTGGCCAGGCCTTCGAGGACATGCAGGAGCAGAACAGCCGACTACTGCAGCAGCTGCGGGAGAAGGACGACGCCAACTTCAAGCTGATGAGCGAGCGAATTAAATCCAACCAGATCTACAAGCTGCTGAAGGAGGAAAAGGAGGAGCTGGCTGACCAAGTTCTGAGATTTAAAACACAGGTTGAAAGTTGTCAGTTGCTTGATCCATATCACGAAGTTTGAAAACAACAACATGTTTCGTGTTAACAAGTAAAAAACTGCATTTAGACAAAGGTTAAAGCTCGGTGTTAGAGACATCCTGCGTCGGTATCAACTCACCTAATAAGACAGACCACATGATTGTCCTGCTCCACTGAGAATCCTTGTGCCTGTTAAAACAGAAGGCTCCCTTCTCTCATTGTTTGCTCAGTATTTTTAACAACAGATGAACATGGTTTTCTTGTTCACTGAATGTATTCTATTTCCATGAATCCCATTTCACACCTAGCAGTTTTGCAGTGCTCCAGTCAAGGACTGATGTCCAAGATTCTTTACTTGACTTGGAAATTGAGATTTAATGTAACATAACACTGGCTACAAAAACCTTTTTCTGTCCCTCAGTGACCTGGACTTAAATCCCTGGAGATTCAATCCAATATTTTTTCCGTGTCTCAAAACACATGCATGTTTGTGTCTGTCTGTTCCAGCAACATATAGAAAAAAATGTCTTTGCCATGTTTAAGAATTTTGATTTATTTCAATCAATTAAATTAATCTTGGTTAATTACATTCATGATTATATATAATTAATAGGTATTAATCCTCAACTACTCTAATTGTTTGACAGCCTTTTTATAGAAACCAGCACATTAACATTTATGTTATAAATATGTTTATATTAAGTCTCTGAGGTAAATGATTAATGGAAAAGGGGAAAATATGAGAGTTCCAGATCTGTGTTGTTTCCTGACGTCTGTGTCTCTGCCAGTGCTGTTCAAACAAAATGTAGCCAATGGTGTTTTCAAACTTCTCTGTTTTCAAGGCTGTAAAACACCAGGATATTGTAGACTGCAGGCATATCTGGAGCCAGATATGTGCGTTAGAAGAAAAAGCTCAGTGTTGATGTACCCTTAATCTTTATATGCTGAATGTTTGTTTTTTTTTGTATTTGGGGAACTGAAATATTAACCGGTGCCTCCCTCCCTCAGGTGGACGCCCAGCTGCTGGTTGTGCAGAAGCTGGAAGAAAAAGAGGGCGTCCTGCAGAGCACGCTGGCCACTCTGGAGAAAGAGCTTGCCGTCCGGATGCAAGCCTTGGAGCTCAACAAAAGAAAGGTGAGAAGAAAAAAGTCGTAGAACTGTTGACTCTTGGGTTTTACTGCTAATCACTGCTTTTCTTTGATTGCCAGATACCCAGGGTATCTTAATAAAAACACTATAAAACATACAAGGACTGGTGTAAAAGCACAAGGTCGGAGCTGTACTTGTTGCAGTCTCCGATATATGTGTTTAGGTGAGGTTTGCAAGCTTATTGTTACAAAACCTATTAATGAGCTTCACTCCGTGCAAATTAAACCCAGCATGTGTTATCATTCCCACATCTCTACGTTTGACTTTTTTTTTCTAACTCTTCTGATCCTCACAAGCACCGTTGGGTTTCTGAGTCAGACTGTAAACAGAGTTGTTCAATAGATAAATAATGAAGTCGTCCTGTCACTTCAGAGAACAAATTTCTTTGGTCACTCCCTTTTCATCTTTGTGTACGGGTTGCATAGACCGCAACAATTGAATTAAAACATGAGAGAAAAGACGAGGATGTAAAATTGTATCACATGCTGAAGAACGTGTCTGTCAGAGCTGGAAAATAAACACACGCTGATGTAAATATTATAAAATATGCATAAGCATCACTACAGTTGTTTAGGTTGGTGCACAGCACAATCAGAGTGGAAAGAAGAAACAATGGTGTTTGGTTTTTTTTTTCTAAACGTACTGCACCGTCACATTACAGCTCAGGAGTCAGGAATTTCTTTATTTAAATGTTTTAATTGTGTCCGCTTCCTCTGCGCTGCAGGCAGTGGAGGCAGCCCAGTTGGCAGAAGACCTGAAGGTGCAGCTGGAACACACGCAGTCCAAGCTTAAGGAGATCCAGGTCTCTGTGGCCGAGAACAGAACAGCCAGAGAGAGGGAGAGCAGCAACCTAAAACGAGCACAGGTACACTGTCCCCCAGAGCGGACGGCTGTTGAGCTTTGTCCAAACTCATTAGCAAGGTTTTTATAGGAGCTTGGTGGTTGTGCTATTTTATTAAGGTATTTCTCATAGTATGCAAATAAAACAACATTTTAACAGCTATAAAATGTTCCTTTAAGAAAGAACAGAGAAACTATAAAGTGGTTGTAGAATTCGCCTTTTCCATTGGAATCATAACTAAATATATATTCTTTAAAAAAAAAAGAGTGGACCTTGTTTACATGTGGAATTTTGAAAAGGCCACAAAGAAAATCTCTGAAGACCATCTTATCCTGGGATGGTTAAGAAATTGACCAAATAAGTATAAGGTGGTTTACTTTACTACTGGAGGTGATGTAGCTGAGGCATGTTAAATTAACTACAAACTACTGCAGCCTGCTTAGAAGTACAGTATGTTAAAAAGCACTTGGTAAATAATTTTAAAAATATGAAACGTTATTAATGGGGTGATGCACTGTACTCAGACGTACATCTGCTCCATTTGTAATCATAGTCCATTTGAATATGAAGTGCATTAACTCTACAATGTTTGGTTTATATATGTATATGAATAATGGAATCTACCACAGTAGAAAAAGTTGAAAGAAACATGACCTTGAAAAGGTGTTTTTATTCGACCTTGGACCAGCATGCTGACGACTGCATCCCTGACTTTTGTTGGTTGGGTAGTTATTCATATTGGTAATCATATCTCCACGTCCTCATGAATTCCAGGAGGATCTGTCCAGGCTGAGACGGAAGCTGGAGAAGCAGAAGAAGATGGAGGTTTACACTGACGCTGATGAGATCCTGCAGGAGGAGATTAACCAGTACAAGGTGAGGACATTGTTCATGTGCAGAGGAAAATTGATGACTTTCACCAGAGAGCACTAACAGCTTCCAGGCACAATCAGAAGTACAACAGTGCTGGTGAAGAAAGTAATATGTTGCTATTCCGAAACTACAGCTGGTGATTTGTCTGATTTTGGCTCTGGTGCCGATTCATTTGCGCGTCTACTTCCAGAGAGTGAGCTCAAAACTCTGAAAATATTACAGCCACTCTGTGCTTTGGGGGATATTGAGAGTCCAAAGCTGTTACACCCACAATTATGAAGTGTAGTACTACACGTAATACATGCAGTAACAGTGCCAGCGTGTCAGTATTTGGCTCGTAAATAACACATTTATCCGTCCGCAGGCCAAGCTGCGCTGCCCCTGCTGCAACACACGAGACAAGGAGACGGTGCTCACCAAGTGTTTCCACGTCTTCTGCTACGAATGTCTGAAGATGCGTTACGACACCAGACAGAGGAAGTGCCCGAAGTGCAACTGCGCTTTCGGAGCCAACGACTTCCACCGCATCTACATCACCTAAGACGGAGATCAGAACCAAAGTAGAGAACGGAACAGAGAAAACACAAAGACTGGAGATTTTTTCAGACACATGCAGACATGTTTCTCTGTTTGAGTCTCTCCCTTTGGAAAGACTTTTTTTTTACTGCGTCATTGCTGATTAATGTGGTGACCAAACAATGACACACAGTTGTGCCGTAGCTAATAAACACAGTTGTTTGTGCTAAAACCCTGATGTTTCTCCATGTCGAGCCACTCTGAGCTGTTGTCCTCTCTTTGACATCCCCGCCAAGTTAAACATCCTTTCCTCGAACAAACTGGGCCCACCTAAATATTTCTTTAGCCCCCCCC